GTGCGGGGTAGGGGGGGGTGTCGTTGGGGTAGGCGCACGAGCTCAACTCCGCCGTGTGGCCGCTTCGGCTGGGAATTGTGCCTGCGTTTTGCTGCACCCGCCGGGTGTTTGCCCTGCCCTAGCGTGCTGCCGATTAAGCAAGCATCCACAAAACCCACAAAGCCAGCCCCCCAAAAAAGCCCAAAGCTCTTCCCCTCCCCCAAAGAAAGAAAAAACCAAAAGTCATTGCTGTATGTGACATGTTCTTACATCTCCGCTGGCCAAAGGGCAACTAAACCCCAACTCCCCCTTTCTTTCAAAGGCAAACGTTTCCATTTGAGATAATAATTAAAAAAATTTACATCCTGGGAAACGGGCATCCGCTTCTCCTCCGCCCCGGACGACGTAGGGCACGCTGCTCCGCGCCGCCTTCCCCACACCGCCCGGCCAAGGAACCCCCCGCCCCGCGGGTAAAGCCAAAGGGAGCCGTCAGCAGGTCTCACACGGCCGAAACACAGCAGGCGAGAACGCAGAACGGGACGAACGGAGACTTCCTGCATTCAGATTGGATTTTTAAATTTATTTTTTAAAAAGAAAGAGGACAAGGAGTGCAACGAGGTTTTCCAAGGCAGGACAGCGCAAGTCCTCATGCTCCATTCGAAGCTTCGCTCGCATGGCCGACAGCGTGGAAGCGCACCCTTTCATTAGACCCAGGAACTTCCCTGAAATTCAGCTAACACACACCCTGGATTATACCAGCACCGCTTTTTCCATAGCCAGAACATTCCCGTACCAGGTGCCACCCCGTCCACACCACCACCTTGCATGGTGCCGTCTCCTTATTACTCATCCATGTTAGACGATCAGGTACTGGCCAGGGAAGAACAGCCTGCCTCAGCCCCAAAAGAGCCACAAAAATACCTGAAATAACTCGGCTGTCTCACGCGTGGAGCTGATCAACTAGCCTAAGGGTGAGATTCCACAAGGAGAGCTGATCTGATCCGACCCAAGAACTTACGGCCACCCAAAGAGCTAGGTGGTCCCACCTCCCTCACCCTTACCCTTGCCTGCCTGTCGCCTCTGCCTTCGTATGGCGAGAACAACGGCTCCCTAACGAGGCCTCGAAACACAGTTTTGTCCCAAATCCTACGGCAGCAGCAGTCTTGTAACAGGGTAACGGAACTCCCCGCACAGGACCAAGCGCCCGCAGAAGCGCAGCCAGCCGGCGGGTCTGGGTGAGGATGCCCACCTGGTCTGGGGGCACGCTTGGTGCACCCAAGTCTTCCCCTCACAACCAGGCTGAGCCAGCTTTCTTGTAAGACTGAATACTTAAAGTAAGCCACAGGTATTACCCATTTTGCATAGTATTTATTTATAACAAAAACATTGCATTTGATCACATACAAGTTTTGATCCAGCAAACTCAGATTTATATTTTTTTTTACAAAAAATACATTTTAACAAGTAAATAAAAACAATTTCCATTAGTCCACTGTTCTCCAAAGTGTAAATGTACAGTAAATTTGAAATTTTTAACATAGACATATGCTCTATTTTGCCAGCTGTCTATAAGAAATTCAGCTACAGTCTGATGAAACATAATAAATAATGATTAAGAAATGGAAAACTACACACCAATAAATGGAAAATATAAACTTTTAAAAAGTCATACAAACAGTTATATTACAGCCACCTCTTCAAAAAAAAAATCAAACATTCACTTTATCCGTTATTGGCATATTAGAATAAATAGCATCTTAAAACTGAAATACTGTCCATCGAAAGAAGCTGACTGAACTACAGCTAAAAGGAACATAATCTAATTAAATCAGGACAGTAGCAGTGCAAAAGCCAAAAATGTTGGTTTTATAAAAAAAGACACTTCCTGGGAATTAACATATTGAATGCTATTTCATGATTAAAAAAAAAAAATTAACTTTTTTAAAAGCAAGAACCATTTTTCTTGATCACTGTTTGGATGACAAATGCCACCACAGAGTAAAAGGTGGATTTGCCGTGTTTGCCACGTTTCTTCTCATTCCTGATGACTTCAAAAGAAAACAATGTAATTGGCTGAGAATACTGTCATCACTCCAACAAGCGATTTCTCTTGGTACCATTTCTTCAGACAAGTTTTTGCATGAGCATTACAGCACAGAACTGGTGGTTTAGGAGTCATTGTAAAACATTCACAAAAAAAAAAGGGTGAGGGGGAAGAGGGATTCCCCTATCTTGCCTATAATAAAAGATGTCTAAACTTTAAGATAGCTATATTTGAACATTTCCAGCTTTAAGTCACTCTGCAGTAGTTAAACACCAGAGATAAGGAAACGTGCCCCGTTTTCAAAGTACTTCCATTCAACCAGTTAGTCAAGGATTAAGTAGTCTGGCCCATTTGCACTCAGCATGGTACCTTCCGATGGGAAGGTAAGTTTCGGAACTTCTTTGCACCCTCACATCTCAGCCTGAAAGACTCCAATGCAGACTATGTGTTAATACTGCAACAATGTGGTTTTCTGAGATAACATATATAAGCATTTGCATGCATCACAGAACCTGCACGTCAACACTGTTCAGCACTGGGCTTCCCTGAATAAAGGCCTTCAGGTCTCCAGAGACGGCATCTGGTGCAGAGCAGAGGTTGCCCAGGACTCCTGTCCTAGCTTTGGATATGCCGCCCCAGCTTGTTCTCTCCAATGGTCTACCAGGATGCTTCCCATTCCACACCAGCTGCTTTTGACTTGGAAAAAAGTAGGCCAGAGCTGTGTGTGACATCTGACCACTGAAGCCATGTACTGGTACACACCTGGACTTGTGAACCAGCACTGCTGCGTTCAAATGGGCACTATAGGGTAGAATCGGAGATCCCTCTGACTACGCTCAAATACAGACAGGTTCTTGGATGTAGGGAACAACAGCCAAGTAGCAAGGGCAGGACACGAACAGGCGTGTGGTTTCCATCACTGAAAAGGCTGAAATATCCTAGCCATATGCCATGGAGCTGTTTATGCTGTAAAACTATGTACAGATCACATTCTTTGGTGTCATCAAAAAATCCAAAAGTGAGTCAAAGATCATCAGTTTTCAGGATAAAACCCTTCAAGAATTTTTCTTCTTTTGGTAGTAAAACACAAATATTACCCAGATGGCCAAAATTTTCATCTATTAGTTACATTCCTATCCCATTAATGCAACATACAACATTGCTGACAGCAATGAAACAATACTGTAGTATACACCACCACTAACAAGGTTTGTTCTCAGAAGGAAATCAAGGCAGGGTCTTTCTTTGCATTTCTAGGATATTCCACTACTTAAGATTTTAGAAGAGGAAATAATTGCAAGTATTAATGCTTATATAAGATCAAAAGTCAATGAAGAGGCTTTTGTAGAAAAGTATTAAGATTCCTAATAATAAAAATATTTGCAAATTTAATTACAAATACATTTTAAGAGCAAAATCCCTAATTAAATACATCAGGGTTGGTCAATATCAACAGTGTCCCTTTAAGAAGAAGTGAAGGTAACACCCGCTGCATCTGTGGGAACACCTAAACGCATAGAGTATAAACACTTATCGATCAAACTATGTCAAATATATAAAGTGAAGAAGCAGTATATATAATTTTGAACCTACACAAAGGTTATAATGGAAGATCAAGTAACAGTCTGCTAAAAATCTTAAGATACTAAGTGCTACTGATTTCATGCATTTGCTCTACAACTTGTCCTAAAATTTCATCTACTACATCAATATCATAATTTACTTGCTGCAAGTCTAGATCAGGCATGATTGTAGCCAGTAGTTGTCCAACATTCACTCGAAGAGAGCGCAGTTTCAGGCTGTGAAGAAATAATGAGATATGTTTAGATGCAGATAAAGTTTTACATTCAAATACACAGTACTTTATTTAACAAACTGGACTAATACTCTATACCGGAAAGGCTCTGTATGTGACTTCCATAAATCAACAAAAAACCTGATGCAGTTAAAGCTGCATCAAGATAATTTCAAAATCTACCATTTTTTTTTTTTTCCAAAACTCAGCCTCTTGAGTTTTAATTGTGAAGGTGTATATCCCCTTAGCTTCAAACAAATACTAATAGCTAAACTGAATTCTGCCATTCACAAAACAGATCAGAAATATCTCTGAATGCTTCTACTTAAATCAGCAAGTAAGCACTGGCACAATCCTTCGTCCCACAACACCTTTTTATTTTCTCAAAAAAAATATTAAACTCCAGTATTTTTATATATTTAGAAGCACAAACTACTACCACCTGTGGGAACAAAAGAAGAAAAAAAGAATACAAAAGGCAGCAAGAAAGAGCAGTTTGTCCAAAGACTTTAAAAAAGAGGAAAACAGGCAAGAATTACAGTACAGGGAAAATGCTATGCTTCCTTTTTTTTTTTTTCCTTTCTTTCCTGGATCCCCTTGCTCTGTCCTCTTCCTGATCAAACTGCTTCTAAATCACCCATCCCTTCTCTTGAGCATTTCCTTCCACCATCAGTTCCTTTATCATCTCCAGTAGCCAGTCTTCACAGTGCCATCATATTCTGACAGGGCTTGTAGTGGAAGGTACTTACAAGTCCTACATATATTTGCTCATTCTTTTAGGAAGCACAGGTCAGATGCTCTAAGCAGAAAATGAAACGCTAGCAGATAAAGGTGAGAGTGAACCACAGAAAAAATTAGATTGAAAGAGGTCTCTGAAAATCACCCAGCCCATTACCACCCCCACTGACCTTCAAAGCAGGGCTAACTCAGCTCCATTTGCTTAGAACTTCTTGTGTTTTAGAGATTCCACAGTCTCCCTGGGTCCCTTTTTCAGGTTTGACTACCCTTGCTGTGAACACTTTTTTCCTCTAATATTTAAACAGAATTTCCCTTGTTGCAGCTTGTGTCTATCGCCTCTCATTCTATCACTGTGCTGATGAGCAGAGGCTGGCTTCATCTTCTGTACACCCTCTCATTAGGCAGTAGAAGACAGCAGTAAGATTTCAAGGTAACCCACTTTTTGTGAGGCTATTTTCCTCAGCTTCCCCTTCCCTATCAGATGCTCCAGGCTCCTACCCATCTTTGTGGCCCTTCAGTAGACTTGCTCCAATATGCCAGTGTCATTCATATACCAGAGTGCCCAAAACTGGAGACACAATATTCCAATGTTTGGTCTGACAATACCCAATAGTCATGAAGAATCACCTCCCTCAAACTGCTTGCTGAACTCTTGCCAATATAGACCAGTAAGCACTGGGTTCTCCCACCACAAGAGTGCACTGCTGACTCACATTCAACTTTTAGTCCACCAGCATCACAGGCCATCTTCTTCGGAGCTGCTTTCCTATGAGTAGTCTCCAGCTTGTTCAACTGCATGGGGTATTTCCAATTCAGGTGCAGAACTCTGCAGTTGTGTTTGTGGAATTTCCAGGAGTTTTCTTTCAGCCCATTTCTCAAGGCCCCTCCACAGCAGCCCTACCCTCCAGAGTATCAATGGTTCCCCCCAATTTCATGTCACTGTGAATTTACCCAGTTAATTTTGCTCCCTCATCTAGGCCATTAAAGAAGGCATTAATCACGGCTGGCCTAGATATTGATCCATGAGCTCAGCAGTCTGGCCAATTTTATGACCCATCTCCAGGTCTACCTATCCAAACCATACCCCACAAACATTCATTGTTATCGTGATATTATGGCAGCCCACACTGAAAGCTTTGCTCAAAGGTCCACAGAGCTGGTCATCTCGTTGTAAAAGGCACTAAGGCTGCAAAGGCACGATTTTCCCCTCAGTAAATCAATGCTGGTTGTTGCTAATCACCTTGACTACCATGAGGCTGCAGGTGGCTTCCAAATAAATTTGCTCCACGGTCATCCCAGGGACCTAGGCTACACTGACCAGCCTGTAGTTCTGCCGGTCCTAAACATGGGCATGACGACTGCCTTTTCCAGGCATCAGGAACGTGGACTGCCACAACTTTTTGAAGATAGTCATTGCAAGGCCAATTTGCCATCAATTGGCCAGCTCCCTCTGATGCATCTCATCTGGTCCCATGGACTTGTGTATGTCAAATTTGCTTAAATGATCCCTTAATTCAGTCAGCTTTTATTATAGGTAATCCTTCGCTCCCTACGATCACCACTTGGCTTAGGGACCTGGGAGGCCAGAGGGCAGACCTTACCAGTAAAAAAAAAAAGTAGAGAAGATACTGGGTACCTCAGGGATTTGTACCTCTTACACCTTGTGTCCTTTGCTACTAAGCACCTGCCCCACTGAGCAGCAGGCCCACATTTTTCTTAGTTCTGCTGTTGCTGCTACTGTGCTTACAGAAGCCCTTCTGGGTGCCCTTCACAGGCCCTACCAAGTTTTAGCTCCAGCTGAGCTTTGGCTTTCAATTCCATCCCTCATCCCTGCTTCCATCTGGTATGTGTACTACTTTTGTGTGTTTGCTATTTCTATTAACCAAGCTTGTAAGTTTAAACCCTTGTTTAGTTTAAAGACACACTCCGGACACAACCTAGTTCCCTAGGATTGGTCTGCAGCAAGAAGTTCTTACAGGAAAGGTATGTTTCAAAACCAAAACCAAACTCTTTTCAGTAGAGTACTATTGATCCAAGAAAGAAAAACAGAATATAAAAGTGAAGTTCATCCACACAGTGTGAGCTAATGATCACCCACTTTCCTGCCTCCTTTCTCTCTCCTTGTTCTGCAAGTTGTGTCTAGAAATTATATAACATTATTGATATTTTAGGAAGTGTCAGTACAGCATTCTATTGTGCAATGGCCAACTCTGCTCACACAAATACCTAAATCATAAAAAAAAAAAATCAAATAAATCACTCGATAAAAAAAAAGTTGCTGAGTTAGGAGTCACAAGAGGCAGTAGAAAAGAATTCCAAGCACCACGTTTTATTATATGATTATCAGACATGACCTTCATCAAGATGTTTCAGATACAATCAGCCAGCCAAAATCTTGCTTGAAATCGTCTAGAAAGAACAAAATTGATACCTTTCTCCATCAGAAAAATTTACAGAGTCTTCTACATTACTGGTGGTAGAATCATTTGCACATGCTACTGCTTGTGGAATCGAAGCTTTTAACTGTGCAATTTCTGCTTTAAGTTCTTCACATTGACAGGCAATTTGATTTTTTTCCACTTCTAGTAGTTCAATCTGGCAAACAAATAAAAATAATTTTATGTTGTGATGGATTAAAGACAACTTATACACATTTAAACCATTTCACTTTGTTAAGTTGACTGCTTTTACTTAGCTTTTCAGTGAGATTAAGATATGACGACCTAGACAAACTGCTTGAAAACAGCCAGCTGTTGGCTAAACCACCATATGTGCGCTCTGTCGAAGCCTGCTCAGTCTCTCTTGTCTTGCAGTCAGAGCCACAAGTTTGCTTACTTCTACCTATGGAAGCAAAAAACCAGAAGCTCCTAGGCTAATTTAGTATTTCTTCCCCCTTTTAGGTGGCTTGATTAGTTAGTGGACTGAACTACACAACACATTCTGTACTGGAACTGCTATGAAACACCCTTTAAATATATAAATGCAACTGTTAGTTTGAAGACTATCACTTTTAACAAACGTACCTCACTTTTATATCTGTCTCTGTCAATGCTGCACTTGTCCAGTTGCCTGAAAACATCATCAAGTTGCACAGCAATTTCATCTACCTCGCTCTTACTTTCACCATCAGCACACTTGCTGCATTCAGTTTTTAAGTTCTGCAGCGTACTGCACTGTTCCTTTAGTTTTGCTATTTCTTCTAAGGCCTGTTCATAGAGGGTGGTCACTTCTGCCAAACTTCTTTGATGAACATTTTCTTCTTCAAATAAAGAAACTGTCTCAGTTGACTGATGGCACATTTCTTTTTTTACATACTTATTATTCATTTCTACAATCCTCTGTTCCAGTGTTTCTACCTGTTTGGTTAATACTTCACATTTGCTCTGGTACATTTCTTTTTCTTTGTTTAATAATTGCAGCTGATTTTTCAGTTCAGTTCCAAGATCTACAGATGTCTCAGAAACATCATTAACATTGTGCTGTTTAGTTTCCACCTCTGCCCTGGGGTCTGGGATATCGGTGTCATCTTCCACCTCTTCCTTTTTAACAACTACACTTGGGAGCTCTGTCTGTGTTGCTGAGGTCAGCTGTTCACTTTTTGATTCTGAAGTGGCTGCACTGCAAGGTTCTCCAACATCACAGTTTTCTTTCTGCTTCTCCTCTTGATCCAAATTAATACATTCAGTTTTTACTACAGGAACCTCAGAATCTGCTGAAGGCTTTGGAGTACTGCTCTCCTCTACAATAATGACATCTTCATCATCATCTTCCTGGCTGTTGAACGTCTTGTCATTTAATCGAGGTGTCTTCAAAGACACAGGTGTCACACAGCTAGGTGTCTTCCGTTTAAGACTGAGGAGCAAAATATTAAACAGATCACTGTATGGCTCAAATACTGCAAAGTCATTTGTGTCAAAATATGTTTAGAGTTTCTGTAAGCACTCCTAAAAACTACCACTCATTAACTAGAAAGGGATGTCTCCCTGCATAGTATTTTAAGATGTGCAGCCAGAATAAATAGCTTTCCTGTAAAAACAAATAGCTGACATCCACACTCTAAACTGTCACCCTCACACACTATTTTGAAACAGACTCAGACTCTGTATTTGTGGAAACACCCCCCCGGACCCACTCCTTAGCCAACAGAAGTTAAGGAAAACATACTGCTGAGTGTGGTTAACACAATACAGTCTTTTCCCAAACAGACAAACCACTAAGCAATTGTCCTTGCCAATGCACAGTATTTTCTGCTGCATTCACTTTTGTACTTCACAAGGTTTCTAGGTACCTTTAATCAACCTGCTGCTTCCTATACTCCCAAAAGTGACATATGAACTTGGGCAGCTATCATTTGAAGATGGGACTACACCCAACACTACTTTTTTTCATTAGCAAGTTATTAATTTTAGAAATAAATAGGAATCTACCTTGTACAGGTTCACTAACCTGTTATCAGAATCAGAATGAGGTGAAGATACTGATCTACTTAAAATCAGAAGAGGTCTTTTGACAGAAGCATGTGATGTTTCTGGTAAAGGTGATCTTGGAACAGCTTCCTTTCCACTCACAGGTGAAAAAGTTTTGAAGTCTTTACTTGAAGAAACAGGTGTTTTTAAAAACATTTCATTATTGATCTATAAGATAGTATTAGTTAAGAATGAAAAGAAACAGACATTAGTAGCTTCTTCAAATAGGTTTAAGCAGTTCTCCTAACACCTAAAATTCTGACTGACACTTCTGATGTATACTACAAGGATCTCCTTAAACCCAGGCTCGGTATTTTGCAATAAGAAAGGCTAACTAGAGTCCACATTGCAAATCTCAGTTTTCTTAACTTAATAATTGCACAACCCTCCCTCCAAACTCTACTGATGTGTGTGAAGTATTTCCTTCATGTTGGTTTAAGACATACAACATATTAGAAAGCAGCGAGTTCTATACAAAAATTACAGACGTCTGGCAGATTCCTCAGAGGACTTTGAATGCTGTACAACAGCTGCCCACTCCTCTCCATGCACAAATTTATTGCTGTCAGGTCTTACAGTTCTTTCTCTAGATACAGCTATTTTAAAGTACTGTGTAGAATTTCAGGTAAGAGCTTTTCCCAAGCTGCATCTCTGTCTGATGTCTGACCATCATACACAAAATATGGGACAGCCATCTCTGTTAAAGCTGCTCATAATTAATTCAGTTTGTCCAAATGAACAATACTTTGAGAAATTACTTTTGTACTTTGGTAAAAGTAATGTCAGAAAAGTTAATACAATGAAGTATATAGGTTAAGACAGCAGATGCAAAACCTCTTCTCCAGAAATGGAGTAATCTTAGGTTAGCACTTTACTTTGAAAGCAACTTAAGTTAAATCACACTTAAGAAATCTGGTTCTGAGTTACGATCCACACAGTCTCATCAGTCAATCATGTTGATTTGCATCTGCATTTAATTTGAATTTGAGTGCCTCTTTGCAAAAGTACAACTACATGTCTCTTCATACCCACCTCCCGCCCCAGTCTTGAGGGCATCTTTGCTTTCATATCCTCATTACATCTCTCTACAACAAATCCACTGTCAATAACTATATGTCATGCTGTAAAAACGGGTATGAGTGACATCTTTTCTCATGCTAATTTGCGAAAGGGCTTTGTTCCTCTCAAACTCTTAAGTACTACATAGACAGCAATGGTGCATTTTTCACCAGCGAACCGCAAAGATAGGGGATTTTTGGTTTCCTGGCAGCGAGCATATCTGTACAGCCCTCAAAAGAGGATGTTGAACCAGTCAGTTGGCCAGTAGCTACAGCAAACTAACTCAAAGCCTGGCCTATTTGATCAAACTGTGTAGTATTGCTGCCAGCAAAAACAACTCTGCTACCAAAGTCAGTCTCCTATGAACTTCAAGAGTTACCTGGTAGCTGTACTCTAGTCGCTTCTTCAGTTTTTCCCTGTCTCTGCACAGCAGCAAGGAAAAAATAATTAAGAGCTTAGATTCAAAAATATCAATTCATTATAAAACCAGTCCAACCTCAAAATCTAAAAGCAAACCCAATACTCCTTTATCTCAGCTAGACACAATAAAGTTCTAATGAACGTATTCTGGTTTATTGCATAAAAGTTTTCTGCATGAACTTAGAAGCTAGTATAGGTTAAAGATAAATTAACTTCAAACAAGTTATTTCTTAGATTAAGAATTATTTTAAAAGATTGAAAAATCCCCCAAAACTCTCACTTCTAGTATGCTAACCAGCATTAGTTAAAATTAACCAAGTCAGGTTTTTTCCATACACCTTAGCTAAGAATCCTCTTATTTTTAAATAAATGTACTGAGGTATTCACAGAATCACACAGAATGGTAGGGGTTGGAAGGGACCTCTGTGGGTCATCTAGTCCAACACCCCTGCTGAAGCAGGGTCGCCTACAGCAGGCTGCACAGGACCTTGTCCAGGCGGGTCTTGAATATCTCCAGAGAAGGAGACTCCACAGCCTCCCTGGGCAGCCTGTTCCAGGGCTCCATCACCCTCAGAGGGAAGAAGTTCTTCCTCATGTTCAGACGGAACTTCCTGTGCTTCAGTTTGTGCCCATTGCCCCTTGTCCTGTCCCTGGCCACCACTGAAAAGAGTCTGGCCCCATCCTCTTGACACCCACCCTTCAGATATTTATAAACATTTATTAGGTCCCCTCGCAGCCTTCTCTTCTTCAGGCTGAAAAAGCCCAGCTCCCTCAGCCTCTCCTCGTAGGGGAGATGTTCCAGTCCCCTCACCATCCTTG